CCCCACCCCCCCACACACACACACACACACATGCAAAAAAAAAAACATGCCTCTCGAGTACCGAAACGTCTGATTTTCGATTTTATCTTGCTCTGCTGTATTTTTGAAGCAGTTCAATGCATAGACTTAGAAGGCCGGTCGAAATGCGCCACCCTACCAAAAAAAGGGTCGCAAATGCATACTCATGCTGCTGCACCCGGATGGAGAAGGCACGACGACTGCGCCGCACCACTTCACTCGACCTTGCCTTGTTGAGATTTGGAATTCGAAGTGCCGGATGCGGGCTTCGGATCCTAGACTGAAAGCTGCTGTGATGGCACAGTTGCATCATGCCTGAAGAGTTGCCCCTTGTCTATTGCAGTGCAGGACTTGGAAGCATCCCCGCGCCTTGACTGCATCATCTTGGAGACACAGTGGCGGAGTTCATTCGCACGTGGGTGTTGAAAGCCTGCCGATTGCGTTCTTGAGTTTCTGGGTGAGGTTGGGTCTTGTTTACCAGTATGACTCAGAGAATCCTGGTGTCAGTGTGCTTTGCTCTGGTGGCTGTCCAGTGAGGCAAGAGAGGCTGGGGAGGGGGAAGTCGGCTGGCAGCCATCGACGCCAGCGCAGCACTGTGCGCTTGGAGGATCCGTACCAGCATGGTTTCGAGGCCCTGGTACAGTCCTACAGCTCCGACACTGAGCTCTTGACTTATGAGAGCAGCCTGCAACTTTGGTTACCCTTCCTGCCGCTGCAGCAAGAACCTAATTAAATTAGGAGTTGCCCTGTGATTGTGGTCCGAGCGTCCTCTGAGGAACTAGCCCTGCGGATTATGTACATGTTCAGAGTCTACCCGCGTGCATTCAACTCCTATCTGGGGAGTCCTGATGCGCAGCCAGAAGATTGGCAGAGCAAATTGGCCAAGTTCAATTTAGTCGCTCGTGTATTCATCATGAATGCCATTCGAAACCTACGAAGCTCGGTTGCAGTGAGTTGACAGTGCTGCCTGACAGAGGCCCGTGTACAGATTGCCTAGAGTTGTGCTTGCATTCGGCTCGCAAAGAGGTCTACACCAAACCGTTCTCCACCTGGCGAAGTGGTTTGGGGACGATGCGGTGGTTGAGACCAATCTGAATGAGACGCGCGTGGAAGTGCTGCGGCTGCTCAACTCGGCCGTGCACGTAATGAACACGGCCGAGTTCATCTACAATGCTTCTGCATGCGTAGATGACGCTTTTGCCTTTGTCTATCCATCTGCCTATGACGGCGTGCCTGATTTGGAAGGCGCCTTTCGAAGGAATCAGAAAGGGCAATTCGTGGTGTACATCTGTCCACTGACTGTTTACGCAGAGAGACTGGGGCTCCTAGCTGACGCGATTCAGACATCTGTTCACGAATCCTCGCACCACGCAGTTGCATACACCGATGACGTGGCGACTTGTGCTCAGTCCCACTACATGTGGATGGACGTTGCAGGCGCTCTGCTTGGGCTTCTTTGGGCTCCGAAGTTGAGCCGTCAAAGTTCAGCCCCAAGAAAGCACCCAGGAAAGATCAGGGGCCTGGCTTGGTTTCATGTCGGGTTCGCCTCATAGCGACACGGGCATTTGCGGGCTTGTGTTTGGATCGCTCTGGTGCTTGGCTTCTGAGGTAATTGTGTCTTATCACTTTTTTTGGTGATACTTCCGCTTCGGCCGCTTCGGGTTCTTGATTTCAGGTTTTTTGGTGTTGGCTTTCTTGCAGACCTCGCAGGCCTCCCGACCCTCGGCGGCTCAGCGTGCCCCGAGAACGCCGAGGGCCAACCACGCTTCTCTGTCAGCGGCCGATCCTGTGACGTGCCAGGACCTACTGTAGCGACTGAAAGACTGGGGCTGGCGCCCCCTAACACAAAGAACGAGCTCCCCACCTCTGTCCGGGTCTGCCTCTCTGGGTTGGATGCTTGAAAGGTGTTGCGGGCATTTCGTCCGAGTTTGCGCTGTTTCAGGAGCCGGAATCTGGCAGATTTCAAACATAACACGGCCAGCCTTTGCCAGAGGCGGGATCCGGCAGTGTGCGCCGTTCCGAAAAGCCTGCTCGACATCTGCCCAGAGTCGTTGTGAAGTTCTTGGCCGAAGCTACGAGGCCTCGAAGAAACTGCCCGCTGCCCTGCGAATCTGGCGGATCTGAAGCTCCTTGGCTGGGAGAATCTCATCCCATTTGTGAGGGCCAAAGCCCACGGTAACGGAAGCCTTGAACTTCTTGGTCTTAGTGGGGGCACCTCGGAACACCTTGGAAGACTCTTCAGGACCGCTGATGCTTGCAAGACAGCGGCGAAGTACTTGGGGCCGGGCCTCTGGGAGGGTCTGGGCATAGCGCCGCGCTTGTTCGGATGAATGGGGAAGTTTTCGTTCTGCAGGGTACGAGATCTGATAGCATTGGCTGACGTGGCTGCCGAAGAAATGCGAATGCGCAAACTAGCTACGATTCAGCGAGCATTTTGACGATCAATTGCAAAATCAAAGCTTGCACATGTGTTGCACCGTCCATGGAAGGACCACACTCTTTTTTGTTTCTGAAGCCAGCAACCCTCAGAGCCTTCTGCGGAGACCCGTCGAACCAGGGCCATCTACAACGATGAAGAAGAGGACGCTGAGTGGCCGCAGGGCTGCTACGAGATTTCAATGGGCCACTTGGCTTGGAGACGAGATGCAGCAATCCTTCTGCTTCGGCTTGGCTGCCGATCCCGCGCCAGGACTCTTCCAAGGCGTCTACTTCAACAGTGCGTCAAACGGCTCAGCCGTGGCAGGAACGCACCCACTTTGCGAGACCTTGCCGCAGCTTGGCACAGGGAGAGCCCCGGGCCGGGCTTCGGGTTGCCGAAGGCTGGTAACGCGTTTTTACTCTTAGCGTCCATGGAGAGTCCCGAAGCTTCTAAAAGCTCTAATTACGCGCAGTCAACTGTGACTCCGAACGACCGCAAAAGACTTCGAGGCTTCGGGCGCCAGTCGTTGGCGGAGGCTGCCCGGCAAAGTATTCGCAGACGAAGACAGGCGGGGCCCAATCAATGCAGTCGGCGCACTAATTGACTTCAAATGAACTGCATTGAAACCTCGATGCTTCAGGAACTTGCCAACTTGCATTGCCATTCGTCACAGCGGCGAAGGGAAGCAGTGCTTCTTGGCAAGATCCTTCATTGATGGAACTTAACTGAACTCTAAAACCCCGTTTTCCCTGCCATGCGACATTCAGCTAGGCGCGAGGGATACAGGTCCTTTCGGAGTGAGACTCAAAAAAGCACTACACCCTAAAGCCCGCTGAAGTGAGACTGCGAACCGAGAGACCTTGTCCGGCAGAGTCCGAGTTGCGAGAGCGTAAAACAGTACTCGCTGAAGCCTTGCCTGCCTTGCGTGCGTTGCGAGAGTCGAAAACAGCAATTGGAGAAAGCCCAGTAGCTTGAGGCATGCCCTTCGAACACCGAGCAGATCGACAGAGCCATGACGTGCCGAAGTGCTGCCGACCTCTTGGGACTGGCCTGGGAGGGCTCAGACGCTCGTTTGGATTTGGATGATCAACAGTATAGCAACAAGTGAAGTGAAGCAAAGACGAAGCCAAACTAGATAATGGGGCTGGTAGTTTTCTTAGTCTCTCGTTCATCCTGGCGGTTTGTTCCGTAGCTGAGGTCACGAGTCCAGATTCACCCACGGGTTGTTCCGTGCAGGACGACCAGGCGAGAGGGTAGATAGTGAGTCAGAGGTGCAAATAAGAAAGTCATAGGGATTGCAATGATTGCGCCCTACCCTTGATAACGCTTTCAATCCAGGGAATGCCATGTTCAAGGCGTACACTGATCAGCTGCACCTGCCGTCATGCAGTGCCACTCGATGTTGCCGAAAGAGAGATAGCCTCTCTTCTTGGAAGTCCTGCCTGCTGAGCCTCGTGGCTTCCTTGCGCTTGCGACTAAGATCTGCAGCAGGTCACTTTCAATGGCGAGGAGGGCACGGCGAATAGCCTGGCAGCATCTGAGCTTCATCTTATCTTGAATTCGCGTCCTGTGCTGGAGCTTGCTCTTCGCAACAAGCTGAAGCACCCACGCTGCAGTGCAATCTGCCCGTTCCCTTTCCAGCGTGGGCATTGCTTGAGGCCCCCATATGCAAGCAGGAATTCTCCTACAGCATGTTTGACCCACGCGTCCAGTACTACATTCAGCTGATGCGTTTTTCTCAGAGTGGCGATGCAGCTCCTCGTCTGCCTGGACCGGGGTTTGAAGGTGCCAGTTCTTCGTGTACGGCGTAGGGGCCGTTCTTGGTCCAGCCACCTCTCGCCTAGGCACTTTTCAAAGCCGTCGCAACGGATTCCTCGAGCGACTACTGCTATCTCGCATATGGACGATCCATGTGCCAAGACTTGGCAAGGCAGGACCCAGGTAAAGCGATCATGAACGCGGACAGCTTCGGTTACTACGTCATTGATGCCGGCAGTCCGGCAACTCATCTGGTCCAAAGTGGAGAAGGCGACGCCTAGCTACGGCCATCGTCGTCCTTTGCACAACCATCACCCGGTGGTCAAACTTGATCCCAAGTCTAATTCGGGGGACCGCCGCAAGAGTCGGATGTGCTCGACCCGAGAGTTCGGAGCAAAGTCGCTTCCAGTTTCTCACGCGACTCAAGGTCAGGCTGTCTTGGCTTGCTGCTATCAACCTGAAATCAGGCGATAGGATGCGTAACAACCATGGTGCTCCCAGGAAGGCATCGTACGGGAATGCACGGGATTTCGCAGTCAGTGCAAGACCCTATGCAATTGCTGAATCCCACGAGAAGCTCACCTGTCCAAGAACTAGCCTGCACCCAGCTACGCTAGCTCTCAGCGTGACTCAGTACAAGCAGAGGCCCAGCATAGTACGAGCAGAAACCCACACCTCTCCTATGCCGGATGGTGGACTTCTGTCAACAAGATGTCCAAACTGCTCAAAGCAAGCTGGACCATATAAGGTGCGTGCCCCTGGCTGCACTAGTACAAGGCAGAGCAACTAGCTCATTATGCTTCAGGGCGTCTGGGACTCCTGCATAGAACCCCGAAGTCCTGAAACAGCGGTGCGTAGAGATTTGAGATGAGGTGAACATGCCACCAAGCCATGCCAAAGTGAGGTCTGCCTGGTCGGTGACCGGGGTCACGGCAAGAGCACACTCGTGGACCTCCTCCGCCCGCGGAGCCTCAAGGCCACCGAGGACCGATTCTGAAAGCACTGAAGGAGGCTTGTCTCTGCTTCTCTTCCCATGACTTCTAGTCTCGTTGAACAACTTATTCTGATTATTGCTTGGACTGTTGCACTCTTGTTCAAGGAGGGTTAATTATCCCAATTTTCTCTGAGTTCCGATGGCCTCGTCTCAGGAGTCCGAGGCACTCAGGCATCCGAGCCTGTCAGCGACCTCAGAGGCAGAGATCGCATGGATTGCGGTTTCAGGGTGACAAGGGCTTTCTGGCTAGTTCCCAAGCCCAGATTGCAAAAAAAGGATTTAGGGTGGGGGTTTCAGCTCCTTTCTCAAGTCGAAGTCACAGAGGTTTCTCCCACGGTGCAGCTGGAAGTGCAGACCCTCCTCTTCCCCGGGAAGGAGCTCGAAAGATGCGTTGGGAGATGTGAGAGAGCTGAGAAGAACAACCAGAGAGAGATGTTAACGCCCAGCCGGAACAGACGAAGGATTACAAAGGCGGACCCTGCATCCAAGCACACAAAAAAAGAAACAAAAAACAAATTATTCCCCTAGCCCCCTTGCAGGCAAGCGAAGAACCAACGTGAGCGGCAGAGTGCATGGGAGGAGGATGCCAAAGAGCCGGACATACTCGGCCGCCGGCAGTCGGTGGGAGCCTCCCCATGTGTTAAGCATAAGCATCTGCGGCTTGTGAGACTGTTTCCATCGCAGCCAAGGCCGACAAGGTGCAGAAGGTGCTGACCCAGCCGCTGTCCCCCACGTGCTCCGGTAGCAGCTCCTATGGCTCCTATCCTAGAGAGCGAACCTAGAGTAACGTCGCGCCTCCTGATAACGAGCCAGGAAACAGAAGACCTTGGAGTTGGAGGTGCAATCTGCCGCTGAGCTGAAGAACCGGAGGATGGCCAAGGGCGAACTCAGCTGTGCCACCAAGGTGGTCCGCGCCCATCGGGTCATCCGTGCTTTGAAGAACAAGAAGAGTTTCAAGGAAAAGGCTGAAGGCTCGGACGTCTGCCTCCACGCCATGAAAGAACTGTTCTCCGCGTCTCGGCTTCGCAGGAGCGAAGCCCAAAACTCAGTTGCTGACTCTGGGCACTGCTGTTCTCTTGCGCACCGGGTCTCGACAAATCCATAACGCGGGCCCTTAAGTTTCGTATGCTTGCACATGCGCACAATGGCAGCGAGACACGATGAGCAGCCAAAGGCGAGTCTCGGATCAGCTTCATGTCGCCAAGTCAATCGCGCGCGATTGCAAGGCTTCGCGAGATATTAGATGGCCATTGATCTTCCACCCAAAAAGCTTGGTTTTGGAGGCATCATGATCCAAAGGCTCATTGACGGACAAAGTCGCAACGTCTCAAGAATTCTTCGACAGACGCGAGTCAGAGAGTCCACGTTGCAATTTTGACACGAAATTCAGGCAGATCCGTTGGTGTTTCCCTAAGGCGGGCAGCCGCTGGAACATCATCGGGGCCGGGGCGAGTTCGCAGCTCGCAACTACATGGCGGAGAGGTGCCAGACTGAAAGAGGGTTTTCGCAATTCGAAGATTGCTTGGCGAGCCGGTTCAATTGCAAAAAGGCTCGGAAGTTACTCTTTCGGAAAGCCATCCCAACGGATCGAAGCTGCATTAAGCATACGACGTCTACATGCAAGCCAATAGAAGAACGATCTAGGGTGGCAGGAGCTTGCAATTAGATCGCATATGTTTAGGGCGATGCGAACAGCGCATGCAGCTCTTTAGGCGGCCTTTGCTGCCTTCTCTGAGCGACCGTCGCCAGGGCTCTGCGGGGCTCAGCGCCCTCGCCCGCGCCTCGCGCATCTTCAAGCCACCTGGCAGTGTTCACGTGGATCTCTGACGGGCATGACTTGTACTTCAAATGTACGGAATCCTAAGAGAAACTCACCCGAGGAAGTCCTTGGACGGCAAGTTCCTGGGGACGCGCACAACCACGCTGCCAAAAGGTATCGGACTGCGGCTGCAGGCAGAGTTTGATTGCATCAGCCTTGGCTTTCCGAAGACATGCGTTTCCTTTGTACTGAGCTCCCGGAGCCCAAGCGCCTATGCGCAGGCAGATGCAGAGGACGAGCCGCTCGATTGCCGTGCTGCCCGAGAATGGTCCAAAACAACATTTGTAAAGAAGACGCGAAACGACGTGAGGGGCCCGATCGCCCGTAGGGAAGGAGACGGAAAGCTAAGGGTTGACCCTCACCGCACCGTCTGTCCTGGACAGACCAAAGGTCTAGACAATGCTTAGGTCTGGCCACACGCAGGTCACCACACGAACCTCCCTCAATACCCGAGGTTTCTGGATTTGGCAGGATTTCCTAGCCCTTGACCGGAACGACGCCAAACAAGATCGTCATTACGTACAACGGATGAAGGAGACCCCCAAGGGCTCAATACTGCACTTCACAATCACAAGTCCCCTTGTTCCGAAACTAAGGGCCCTTGAAGGGTGGAGGCTCGAGGATTCGAGCTTGCTTGCTCAAAACCGAATAGTATCGCGTGGTTGGCGAAAGTGCGAATCTGAGACCTCTGGACCAGCCCCAGGTCGCAAACTGACCTGGATCAGCTGGGCAACACGCTTGCTGAGCCTTTGTTGTGCTCTCGAGCTGCAGAGCAGGACTTTTCTCCGAAGAGGTCCCCTGTTTTGTCTGGAGTGTCTACTAGGCTACTTCATCGACACGCCTGGCCAAAGCAGCCTTTTGGGTGAGGCACAGGCAGGGCGACCCGTTAGAGCTTCTGTTGCCAGTTTTTTTTCCCTGTCAAGCCACAGGCCGCCCTGCGTTTGGCAGACAGCGTGCTGCTGGCGGGGCCCTTGCACGACAGATCTTGTGGTCCCGGGTGTTTCACGCAGGTCCAGGGTGTATAAAGTCTTATGCATCAGCTGCTACAGCTTCCACGAGCCCGAAGAATCCCGAAGACTGCTTCCTGCGTTTCATCCCGAAGGGGTTCAAGCACTGAGTTGGCAGGTGGTGAACCCCGTGGAGGGGCTTTCGCTGCATGGCGAGGCCGGTCCAAGTCGGGGACCCATCTCTCGCCCGTGTTTGCCCGCATCAAGGCCCTGCTGCGCCGTGCCGCCGCCGAGCGTCTCCAGGCTCCCCGAACAAATGTCAAAAAGGGGGGAGAGGGCCGAGAGGGCGGGTGGGTTGATGAATTTCTTCAGACTGGGAGGTGGCCTTGGTCTTGAGTCACTTCGACAGCTGCTTGGATGGTCCGATTCTTGGAGACGGTGCGACGGTGGCCGTGCTTTACACCAGAAGCGGACACTATTTCCTCGGGGCCTTGGAGCTGAGGCCGCTACGATGCCAAGCAGCTCGAGGATGCGATGCACGCCGTCGTAGACCAGGCCACCGCTCCCCCGACCTCCCCCGCCCCCGGTCCGTCTCCCTACGGCGGTGCCAGCGGTGGTCTCGAGGCGAACACCGTCCTGGCCATGGCTGGGGACGAGGTGACTCGAGGCGAAGCTCGAGTCGCCCCGCTGCAGATTCCAAGCGTTCCTAGGGCCCTTTTTGCACGAAGGCCCCTATAGGCACCAGGCCTTCTCTTCTCTCGCCTAGTTCCGCCGCGGCTCCTTTCAGGGCGTAGGCCTTATATGGTATTTAGTAATTAGTACTGTCAGAGGGCCTCACCCACACACAGACAGAGATGTGCACGTATACATGCATGCCCCGCAGATGGATGGATGGATGGATGGAGGTAGAGATAGGTCACGTATGGAAAAATGCAGGTTTCTAGAAAAGCTAAGATGTGGATACAACTACCGATGTGTAGATATGTGGGCATAGAAAAACTATCGTTATAGATGCACACACACACACACACCAACAAACACACGCACGCACGCGCACGCACACGCGCACGCACGCACGCACGCACGCACGCACGCACGCACGCACGCACGCGCACGCGCACGCACACGCACACGCACACACACACACACACACACACACC